TGTCGAGAGCTACTGAAGGGCTTTAAGCAGAGGAGATCCAATTTGTGATTTGAGGCTCCTCTGGTTGCAATTTGTGGAACGGACTGGAATAGGCCCAGTAGTAGAAGCAGGAGATGGAAGCTATTTGCAGTGGTCCAGGGGAGAGCTGATGGTAAGCGGGACTGGTGACATAGGTGAAGTACATGTCTATTTTGGTGCATAAACCTATAGGACTTCATGTCCTATTCAAGGACTGTGCGGGGCAAGCAGAAGGAAAAAATCAGAGACAGTGCCTTGGAACCTTGATGCCTGGTGTGGGTTGAGGGAGCTGGGGGCGGGGGTGGTAATCTGCCATGAAAAGTGCTCAGGAAGTGAATGATGAGGAAGAGCACCTCTGTTTCAATATGCCCCCTCCCTTCCCCCGTCCCCCCTGCCAAATTTAACTAAGCTCTGCTGGCTGATTCCCACAACCCGCTGCATGCAGCGAATTAATATGAACTGTGTCTATCTGGGTAGAATCTCCCAGAGAAGATTAAAACCTCTATCGCAGCCACAAGGAGAGGCTGTTCCTTTTACTTCACCAAGCACAGGGGCATTAAACTTAACAGGCTAAAAAATGAAGTGTGAGACCAGCCCAGCCACCGCGACAGCGGCTGACGGGTTCACGCCAAGAGGAGGCCCTCAAAGTGAAATGAGGGTCACAGGAGGGGTGGCTCTCTCACTTTACAACGTGTTCCAGAGAACTTTCTATGTCAAGAATAGAGAGCCACGCCTTCATTTCTTTTTTACTGCTCTACAGTAATCCATTCTATGACTGTTCCACGATTTATTTAACCTGTTCACTATTGATGGATATTTGAATATTTTTCCTCCATGTTTTGTTCTTTTGAATAATGCCGTAATGAATAACATCACAAACAAGCCATTTCGCACTTTACAAGGTTGCTTGGCACTTCTACTGAGTGCTATGCTGCAATTTATTTAAGCAATCTCCTAAGGATGGATAGTTAGGTTGTTTCCGGGCTACCTTGATGATAAATAATGTTATTCTGAACATTCTTGCCCATAAACCCTGTGCACACTTTGTTTTTCTCTTTACTTTTCTTTGTTTGCAGTGCTAGGGAACCAGGGTCTTGCACATGCTAGGCAAACACTCTAAGGCTGAA